AAACTGCTTATTAGAGAAAAATCACACGTAATCTTTATTCAGGTTTATTCGTTTATTCCTCCATATTTCCTCTTATATTGCTTCTAATCCCATATTAGCGTGATTTCGATAGATGGCACTGATGGGGACCAGGTCAAATGCATTGCTGAAGTCCAGAATCATCAGATCTGTGTCCCATGTTCACTGATTCTGCCAGTTCATGCATCCGGTTTCACAGCTTCTACACTGTCTAAGCTCATGCTGCCAATAGACTTGAATGGTCTGCTTTCTATGTGACCACTTCTGGGTGCTTGCTGATGTATTTCTTACGGCTCTCGCAACATTCGCTCCCTCAGTCTAGGGTGAGTACACAAGTCGGTAGTTACTGCCTCAAAGCAAACCCTTTTTTCTAAAAACCAGGAACTGCTTTTGCCAGCCTCCAAGCAAACGTGACCCAATCAATCCCCACTCTTCAGTGTGCTGAAAGATGACCATCAGCATCGGGGCAAGTTCCTCAGCTAGATCTATCAGTAGTCTTACCTGAATCACATGTGGTCTTCCACACATTGTATGAGGAATTTCAGTTGCATTTTCCTATGGGAAAAACTGATCCACAATGTGATTTATTATACCGGCTTTATCTTTTGGATCTGCGTGTATTTTCCATTTGCTTTTAGGGGTGGCGCTCTGCTGTAATTTTTTCGAAGGCGGTTTATACAGAACCAAAGACATTTTTGTTTTCTGTAAATGTCATCATTTCCCTCGTCACCTACTGCTATAATGTTCTCTGCTCAGGGTTCTCCCTACGTTGCGCAAAACGGGGCTGCGTGCGCCCAGCGTTTGGAAAACTCCCGCCTGTTTCAATCGTTGCGCCCGTTTTAAAATTACCTCCGCCCCCGATAAATTCCACCACAATAAAAGTTTCCCAAGCGAGGGAATCGATCGTTCAAGAATCTCATTCGACCAGGAACCCGTCGCGGTGTATTTTTACGTGCCACGGCATGCCACTGCAGACAATACACAAGTACCAACAGTCAACCTGTCCCACAACCAAACACTAATGTACACCGACTGCGGCTATCTTAATATCAAGACAAGAACCCCAAATACGTCTATGGTGTGAGTGACGAATTTGGTTGGTCCGCCTCCCCCTGTTTGAAATTTCATCCTGGGGACGAAGCCCTGTGCTCTACATCAGTGATTGTGCTTTTTTGCAACAGATGACTGAGGTCAAAAGTTCTTTGTATGTAGGGTAGGTTAGGGTACTATCTATATCGGTACGCGTTTGGCTATAATGGTAATGTAACTGTATTAACTACACAAGTGCCAGTTTACTCTAGCATTCGTCTAAACATTGCATAATCAATGGCCATATTATTCCTTTAAGCCCTACAACTTCTGTCAGACTCAGAGGTCCATCACGTGGCAAAAATAGTTATTAATATATATAGGATTGCGTGGATACAAAGGATAGCTTGGGACGCACCCAAATGTGTTTTGCGCATTGTGCTGAAAACTAATCGGGTGCTAAACCAGATGAGACGGGAATACTCGAGAGAACGTTGCCGAAAGGAGATGTTTGATCCAATTCGCTGAAAGCGCAGATCTTTCGCGCAGTTTCCGCGTAAAAAAAAAAAAAAAAAAAAAAAAAAAAAAAAAGAAAAAAAAAAAGAAAAAAAAAAAAAAAAGATAAGAAGAAAAAAAAAACAAAAAAAAAAAAGAATAAAAAAGAAAAAAAAAAAAAAAAACAAAAAAAAAAACAAAAAAAAAAAAAAAAAAAAAAAAAAAGAAAAAAAAAAAAAAAAAAAAAAAAAAAGAAAACAAAAAAAAAAAAAAAAAAAAAAAAAAAAAAGAAGAAAAAAAAAAAGGCGCACGCGAGCCGCGGATACGTCCTACGACAGTATGCAGCGACTGGGGCCAGCTATGGATCCCGTGCGCCGAATGAATTGGCGGGCGCACGGATCCATAGCTGCCAGCGAACATCCGCATTTTAGTGGGACAGCAAGTAGGGGTAGACATTTGGGACGTCAACAGTGTTGACGTTGCTATAAGAAACTGTTAACCGAGTAATTGTTCGTAACGCGAGCTGTGTGAACGCGAAATCACAGAAAGACTGAGTCGAAAATTCTGACATTCGCACACCTTGCCAGTAATGGAAACGGCTGTAGAATCACGAAACACTCTACCGGCGCTCTCCGCCCCAACGCTGCAACGTTATCTTTGGCAACGTTCCAATGGAGGCTCGTAGCGGGAGTTGGGAAAACAGTGCGCCGCCTGCCCGCCGCCTATAGGCCATAGACTGGCAACTCTCATCGGCACCTCTCCGGCACTTAGCTAGTCAACTCATGCTAATAAGAGGTGGGAGCCGAGATCCTAGTCTATATATAGGCCCTTTGCACCTCGCAACCTTCTGAAAGAGAGTAGGCGCTAATACTAGAAACATTAACAATTTTCGTAGCTAAATAGAATTCGTATTTCAGTTAGCATATATTTTATTGAAAACGTTGCAAATGGCCTGTTCTAGTATAGCGCCTAGGGGTATCTCTAACGCCTAGCAAAGACGTTTCCTTGCTGTCGTATAGTAAGTCTAAGTAGTACTAGTGTTTCGCAAGATAAGAGACATGGCTCGCCAATATTATATGGCAACCAAGTAATGCATGGCCAATACAAACCAATGTCATTTACATCAAATCTAAAATAATAATATTATAAATCAATATAATAAGGTTAGGGTTTAATGGTTAGGCCTTAGGGTTCGTCATTATTAGTAAGTCTAGTTAATACTAGAAGCAGAGTTAGTCATTATCATACATATTACTATTAGCTCCTGCGGTACCTGGTAGTTAACTAGTACTAGTAACTAAGTAGATGCTGTAACGGTAGTAGTAAGCTAAAATACTACTTAGTACTGAGTAGTGAAAGATAGTAGTGAGTGCGGTCGGGTAACAACGCATCTTTTGCGCAACGCCAATCATTTACACGGTCTCTATGCCAGCTAGTGGGCTCAGTCTAAACGAACTGATGAATCAGTGTGTGCTGTACGTGCGGGCCTTGATCTTCCTGGGCCCAGTGGCTGGTAATATCAAAAACGGCAAAACGCGGCTAAGAGTCTGAGAGGAGAATGTCGAGCGCGGGGTGAACAGGTTTCATAAGGAGAAGCAAGATTGGCTAGCGATAACGAAAACGCGATGTCACGATCCAGGTTAGAACTGGTACGGACGTTAATTCGGGCAAAAGTCCTCTTCGCTACAACTAAAGTTTATAGTTACTGCAGGGCGTGTCAAAGCTATGCACCGGGCGCCGTCTCAAGGAAAATTTTATGTGACGAAGCTCCGAAGAGAGCCTCGTGGCGCGACCTTATGGCCGCGATATGTACGAGAATAACTTCAGGGCGTTAAGATAATAATAAATTAGAAATCGTTTTTATAGAAAAAAACGCAACGCGGCAAAGCCAAACAAAGTACGAAATACGACATTGCGATTTATTCTCGCACTACGTGCAAAGTCCAAACAATTTCGGCAATGGCCAGAACTGCGCTCAATTGAACCGATTCTCGGCTTTATCCTATACCCAGAAGGGATTCGTATGTATTCTAAGTAAGGCAGCGATTAAAGTCATTGTGGCGGCCACATGGTGGCGCTGTCGTGATTACGCTCGTTGATCCGGCTGCAGTTGTGTCTAGGCTGCAGCTTGGGCCCATTTGAGTGACATGGCGTCTAAACAAAAAGGAATTGCTCCGACCTGTGATTGAAAATAAAAATGGAATTCGTAGACGTTTTGTTTTTATTTTGCATACCCCGCCGCATATGGCTATTATGCTATGACCAGTAGGGAAGTGTACTAACTAATCATCTATGCGCGAATGATTTGAGTTACATTTCTAGTAAAGTTCTAGATATTATAACACATGTCTTAAGGTCCTTAACTCTGTGAAATTTGAGTCATATTGAAGCGCGATTAGTCCCCCCACTAATTAATTAGCGGCAATAATGGCAGCCGGTATCACTCATAAGGCTAATTATACACCGCGCTATGGCCGGTAGAAAGTGTTACTAACTATCATATGGCGCGAACGAATTTGAGTTAACAATTGTATTATAAATTCTAGCTATTAAGGTACAAAACACGACACGCAGTTAATGTTACCAGAGCATATGATTGTGTAGAACCAGTGGGCAGTAGGTTCATTGTCATGCCACCGTGACGTCATCACTTCGGTACTCTATATAATGTTGTTATATATAGTCAATAGATGCGTGTGTGTTGTAGCTGCAGGTGCGGACTTGTTCTTGCTGCCAGTGATTCGACCAGGCCCCCGGACCCCCCTAGTTTCCCCTCCCCCTCCCCCCTTCCCCTTCCCCTCCCCCTGTTTCAATTTCATCCTAGGGAGAACCCTGAAACCCATTCCACTTCATGCTCATCCTTATAAGTTCATATTTCATTAGCTTTATAGATTTTCGTTTTTTTTCCATTTCGTTATTTCTTTCACATATATTTGTTAATGGGCAAAATCTGAACCGCTTGTATTTATGTGTGTCGTGACGTTGCACCGTGGGTATGTACCAAGACACCGGTCGCGGCGGCGGTCTACTTGCACACTAGCTCTAGAACTATAGCCCTTCACTCACCTGTGGCAGAGCGAAGGGCTATAGTTCCAGAGCTATCTGCACTCAGTCAAGATGCACCGCGTGCCCCGGATAAATCATGCATGCAGGTTAATGGCTAATGCATGAGAGCATTGGCTGCCGACACGTGTTGTGGTGTAACCATGGCAGGTTGCATAAACACGCGACTACGGGGATGAAAAGAAGCAGGAATCAATCGTGTCAGGCATCCCATCTGTGCCAACACTTGCAGGCGCACCTACGTAGGGTGGCTGCTAATAAGTATGCAGAGAGAGAGAGAGAGAGAGTGTGTGTGTGTGTGTGATAGATCATACATTGCTTCTGCTTGTCGGGTTTCAGTGTAGTTCAGTGTAGTGGTGTTTGTTGTGTGCGTGCACACGCTCGTGTAAAGGAGTGCCGAGTAAAGGAGTACGCTGTGACGTTCGTTCGTATACCGTGTGGTATTATACTTGTATTACAGCAATCACATTCGCACATATATAATCGTTGCCGACTGTACTGCTTGGTGTAAAAATGTGGTAAAAATGCATTATGAGGTGTTCCTGGTTTCTAGAGGAATTTAGGGCAGTGTAGGTAGATCGGTAGGCGTTTGTGGTTCAGGTTGAAAACAGCGTTGCTCTGATGTCACGTAAGAAGTTTATTAGGGGTAGGACGTATTCAGTAGGTTACAATAGTAACGCAATACAGTCAACTCTCCAAATTCTGAACACCCTCGAAACTGAATCTCATGATAAACCCGACGATTTTTAAGTCTCAACACCATCTTAGACGTGTAAGACATGCCTAGAATAGCCCCCCTATAAACAGAACTTCACAGAAAACCAAACTAAATAGACAGTCTCGCGGGTGGTCCGTACCGAGAGAGTTGACTGTAGTGTATTTATGATTGTGCATTTCCTGTTATTTACGAATATATGCACCCATATTTGCTGGCAGGAAGACACAGGCTGGCAGGAAGGCTGGCAGGAGGTCACACGAGTCTACTAGTGAGTCATTGCATGACGCATATATTAATCGTGTATTTTCCCTCTGTTGAAACTCTTGGGCGTTCCTGATCACACATTTGTGAAAATTCTCCTGGTGCCATAGCTAATCCTTAGACGAACTCGATACTTTGGTAACATATTGTGTTTTAACGCAGGATATCGCAGCAACTTGACAAGCAAAGAACGTGGAGTGCTCTTAGGTGGTGAAATCGAGAATATTTGAGTGAGTATAGCACGTTACCATTAGTAGAATAACAGTTTATCTACTCCTGGTATTATTTATATTGATCGAATAATGAATCTGTGTCAGCGAGTACTCAAATTATTAATGTATATGGAATACCTTTAATTTTAAATGTGCGATCAAATCTTGAAATGCTTGATAAATACTCTTGAGAGCATGTTAAACATGTTCACTGTTCAAACACACTCAGATACGTTATAATCATTATTCGTCCATGTTGACAGCTCAATTGTCTACCCTTAGCAAAGTGACATGCAGTTATTTATACAGTCTATATCTATCCCCATCAAGCATGATTCAACTTTAACTGAGGTGTTCAAGTTACACTGGCTGGCATTGGCAGCCCAATGTTAACAAATTCACCCATTGCCTTTACAGATAAAGTTAACAAGTACAAACCACTCCCTAGTGTGATGCAATCACAGAATAGTAGCTCCCAGTTCTCAAGTTAAACTGCAAAGTGTTACCCTCTTAGAACACCTATAAAGATTGAACCCATTGCCTTTGCAGGTAGCGTTAACAAGTGCAATTCACCCTCTAGTGCGATGGCACAATGTAAATAGCAATTTCCAGTCCTTGAGTCGAGCTGCAAAGTGTCGCCCACTTGTGAAACACCTAAGACAATTTAACCCGTTGCCTTTACAGGTACAAGACCGCAACCACTCGCTGGCACAATGCAACTTTGTATGACTAATCACCAGTTCTCGAGTTAAACCGCAAAGTTTCGCCCTCTCACGAAACACCTAAGACAAAAAGAAAACCTGCTGCTCCCCGACAGGTAATCCACGCTGACCGTTCGCCGCACCGCCCCACCGAGCGTGAAGATGCAAGAGTGGCGCCTCCTACCATGCTTCGCCGTTGCCGCGCTCCTGCTGCCGGTCGTCGCGGCGACGAGCGGCAACATCGCGCTGGAGAACGGCACGGTCGTGTGGGGCGACGACGACGCGTTTCCACGGTTGCCTGCGCGCTACATGGCCGACGTGGAGTACAAGGCAGGAGCGCTCGCTGGTCTGTATGGGATGACCCGTGGGTTCGTAAACATCGTCCAGCCGAACAGCTTACACACAGGTGCGTGCCTACACTGTCACAGGCTGTGATCTAGCCTAACAGTTTACACACAGGTGCATGCCTACACTGTCACAGGAAGCTGTTAGGCTAGATCACAGACACACATGTGCGTACACTGTCACAGGCTGTGATCTAGCCTAACAGCTTACACACAGGTGCGTGCACTGTCACAGGCTGTGATCTAGCCTAACAGCTTACCCACAGGTGCCTACACTGTCACAGGCTGTGATCTAGCCTAACAGCTTACGCACAGGTGCGTGCGCTGTCACAGTCTGTGATCTAGCCTAACAGCTTACACACAGGTGCCTACACTGTCACAGGCTGTGATCTAGCCTAACAGCTTACACACAGGTGCGTACACTGTCACAGGCTGTGATCTAGCCTAACAGCTTACACACAGGTGCGTGCCTACACTGTCGCAGTCTGTGATCTAGCCTAACAGCTTACACACAGGTGCCTACACTGTCACAGTCTGTGATCTAGCCTAACAGCTTACACACAGGTGCGTGCCTACACTGTCACAGTCTGTGATCTAGCCTAACAGTTTACACACAGGTGCGTACACTGTCACAGTCTGTGATCTAGCATAACAGCTTACACACAGGTGCGTGCGCTGTCACAGTCTGTGATCTAGCCTAACAGCTTACACACAGGTGCGTGCCTACACTGTCACAGTCTGTGATCTAGCATAACAGCTTACACACAGGTGCATGCCTACACTGTCACAGTCTGTGATCTTGTAACATTGTGTATAATCTCATGGTATTTTCTATAAGCTTATGATATTGTCTAGAATCTCACAGTATTGTGTATAATCTCATAATATTTTATATAATCTCACTATTCTCTATAATCTTATTGTTTCAAAGTGTTGAATAGATGATATCATGTTTAAAGTTTAAAATTATTTAAGGGCCTTCTTTAGTGATATCTCTAAACTGTCAAATTTTTACAATTATGTGAAGCTAGTATCAACACGTAAATAACAAAAGCATTCGTATATTTTTGGTTGCCTCTGTGATATTGAAAACACGTCTTGATGTTGGGTCTATGAATGTTGAAAATCATTTATTCTGCCAAACCGGCCACC